ATTATATACTAATTAATGTTTTAGTAGTAACTGAAGAATAAATTAATTAGCCCTAAAATTTATCATTTTATTTTAATTATAAAAGAATAAATTATGTAAATAAATCTATTTAATAATATGAATTTAATTTTTTTATCTTCTCATATTTTTTGTCTTCTATTTCTTATTTTTATATTCTTAACTATTTTATCATTATTAGTTTTCATTATATACATAATATAATGTAACATAAGGCGTTAAAATGAAGGAAGATAAATATATGTTTAAAATTTATGAAAAATAAATGTACAATATTGTAATGCATGACATAATAAGTATTTGTACGGTTACAATTTTTTCTAACCTTTTTATTTTCTTTTTCTTTATGTATAATGTCTTTCCATCTTCCTACTCACCTATATATAAACTATCACTTTTCTCTACACCAATATATTATATTCTTCTCTTCATCTCTTCAATTTTATTTTATTGATACAGTGAGTTTCAATTTTTTTTCTTTTTTGTTTCCTATTTTATATTGTATCTAAATATAATATAATATTATATATATATATATCTTTTTTTAATCTTAATCCAAAATATATATATTGTTATATAAAATATTTTCCTTATTAGTCTTATTATTTTTTATGATTTTTTTTATAGAAAATATGATAATTGATTTTTTGAAAGAATTTTGTAACTTTATTTATTTGAAATTTATGTATTATTTTCTTTTTAGATTATTAATGGTTCAATTTTATTTTTTTTTTTGTATCTGTGGTAAGGACAAAACTTTATTCAAGGGATTAGAGAAAAGGTATGAATTTGATAAATGTTAATTTATATGAAAATATTACATTTTTTTATAAGATATTATGTTTTTTATTTTATTCATATTATATTATTATTAACTTTTTTATTCTTTTAAATATAAAAATTATACTTCACATTCTTTCTAAATTGTATATATATCCAATATTATTATTATATATATTTGGGAATGTGCACTTAATTACACTAAAATCTCATTCAAATAATTTTTTTTTTGTAACTTTAATTTGAGCATTTATATTAATATATTCAAATAGTTTGTAATAAAAGTTAAAGGAATAAAATAAGAATGAACAAAAATGATAGGAAATTAGAAATGAGAAAAGGGACAAGAAAAATAATCATAAAACAAAATTTTACAAGTTAAGTAATTATAAAAAAAGAGTTGGTAAAGACTAATGTAAAAGCAAAAATTATATATAAAAAAAAAGGTAATTGTTAAAGCATGATTTTTTTATTAAAAGAATAATTGATACTGTTTAACTTCAGTCGTAAAGAACTATGAATTTGATTAA